TCGCAGGGAAGGGTGTTTACCGAGTGTTGTGTAATAATAGGAGTGGGGCTACGTGACATCACTCGTGGAAACTCGGAGTTCAAGTGACCCCTACTTCCTTTTGCACCATCCACGTCACAATATATATATTCATTAATAAACTTTACTACAAAAAACAAAGAACATTTTCAGACGAATGCGGATGTACAGTGTTAACACAGACACAAACACTGTCTTCATAAACCAATTGCTAACCTCTCATGCTTTCAGAAAAGCGCATATTGTGCTGGGATCAACATTTTTAATAACCTGCCATCTGATCTCAAAGGTCTTATGAACGAAAAGGCATGATTTAAAATAGCACTGAAACGATACTTAAATAAACATTAATTCTACTCTGTTGATGAATACCTATTGTCTAGAAAATAACTTATGTATCTTTAAATAGCCTTGTGTGTAGTCACTGTGTATTCTTGCTTTCTCTTGTGTGAGAACTCCATTGGGACTGTGTATTATTTATATGACATGTTCCATATCCTACAGTCATTTTGACTAACTTTGGATCTATGGAATGCAATGCAATGTAATGTAATGTAACATGTAAATAATGACTGCTGTTTGGAGAATTGTGGAAAATGGACTAGCTGAATGCCTCAAGTTTGTTATAGCAGGAACTGTATCTAAATGATGGGGCACATAACTTTCAGCAGATTCTTTAAGTATATTTATGTGTATTCTAATTTTACTAACAGATTATTTATTCATGAAAATACTGTAGTATTCTTATTCATGTGATATTTAGCATTTTCCTTCTTGTTATACTGATGAGGAAATCGTAAATTTTACTACAGATATTTTATGTTTTTACATTTAAATTACATGTTTTATTTTAGGGTAACCATATTTTGGGCATAGAACTCCTAAGATATTTTCACAAATATCAGAAAAGACAGATCAACAGTTTTTCTGAGGCCATTCAATGCTAATTATTAACACACAATTATGTGGTATATGGAGGTAGCAGTTGTAAGCCATTTTAAATTGCTCCTGATATTTTCATGGAAGTGATGTGGATACTCATATTAAAAACCTCTTATTAGAATAGACAGTATCATTTAGGATTAAAAATTGTTTCTCATCTGTACAGTGTTGGAATGATACCCAGTACTCTTCAGTGTTTGAGAAAAGAGGATAAAAGTGATGAACTTCCAGTTGCATGTTCTGATTTCTTTGATTCATTAATTATATTAAAAGACCGGAATCAAGACTGTTAGAACGTACTGATATGTTGATATGTTTCACATTATTATCTTTTGGGCATAAAATTGCAGTCTGTAAGGTACAGTGTGCAATATATTGTCGCGTGACACACCCAATACATGACAGTTTGGTGTCACAATTGGTTTACGAACTTAAACACGCCTCGATGAATAATTGAATTTACGAGTGCATCAATGATTATACTGCCACAAAATGGAGATGCAGCAGATGATGGAACTTCTGCTGAAAAAAAATGAGGACCAACAAAGAAGAAATCATGGCAAAATTAGACGCCAACCAAGCTAAGACGGAGGCCGGCCATAAAGAGTTGCTGCCCAGATTGAAGGCTGACAGACAGGCCGAGCATAGAGAACTGAAGGAAATGATGAAATGATGGACACCAGCCACAAGGTGGCCGAAACCAAACCGCAAAGAGACATGGAGACGATGGCCCGCGAAGAAATGGAGGCAACATGGTCGTGATTGAGTGAACAGCCCAGAGAGGAAGGCTGCTCAGGAAAAATTTAAGGATGCACCATGAAGGAAAACGAAAAAAGGACCGAGGCGGCAAGCGGCTGCTGTACATGAGGAAGAAGAAAGAAACCGTGAACTACATTGAAGGGTGTGGATCAGAACAGCGATCACACCTGGAAAGTGGAGAAACGAGCAAGAAGACTGTCAATGTGATTTTCAGAGGAAAGATCGCAAAACAAGTAGTCGGTACTTCCAACGGGTTACGAAAAATCGGAAAATGTACCTTGTGGAGGGGTAGGCCCCCTCCAAAATGGAAAAAGAAGCAGAGCAAGCAGAGGAGGAACTGGTAATGTAGAAACACCAGCCTCCCCAGCGAGAATGAATGTGTGTTGGATGAAAGTGATGAGTGAATGTGAAACTACGGGATCGACGAACGCTGGACCATGGAATTGTTCAGGACGAACAACCTTAAGAAGTGAGTGGATATAACGGCCGGAGAATAGTCACTGCAAGAGGAGTAGCCGGACAGAAAGAAGACGTTGCAACAACAGCCTTCAAAGAAAAGGAATGGGGATGCACTGTTAGGCTATTTGGGAAGAACAGCCTTAAGGAGGGAGCAGTGACATAATTGTGATATGCAGGACACCCCCTACCCCGCCAGCGGTGACATAACAGCGTCAGAGTGCTGTCGCTGCTACGGTAACAGGCCAGTCAACACTCCGCCCCCCCTCCCCCGCGGTGACGTAACAGCACTTCCCACTGTGATGTAACCGGGGATACCACTGTTGACACAGGCAACAGGGAACGGTATAAAAAGCCGGCTGAGCAGTATGTGATGACAGTGTGTGATCAGGAGTGACACGGTGCTGATCATAAAGTCGCTGAGAGCAGTGGACGTAATTGTCATGCTGCCAATGGCAGTAATTGTAATTGTGAATTGCGTGCGTGTGAGAGCGAGTGTTCAATAAATTCAATACATCCAAGACGACATGAAGTTATTTGTACATGAAGTTATTTGTCACGTGACAATATTATAAATGGTTTTATATGCCATATCATGTATTATGCAGAGCTGATGGTAATATCTAGCCATTTGGTCTAATTTGCTTACATCAATAAAGAATTGTTATTTAATTTACTAAATTAGTTGAAAATGCTCAGAAAATGAAAACATAAGTTTAAATTATCTTACTCCCAGCAACACAACTGGACATCATACCCTTTATAGCTCTTCATACCTTATTGAATTATATAATATGTTATAAACATTCTTAGACTTATGCCTAATAATGTTAAATATATGTCTTTAACAAGAATATGGTGGTATTCATTCATCAGAATTCAGAATCATGGAAAATCAGGTCAGAACAGCAGAACAGTCTACATAAACTGTATTGTGTCTGACTTTGCCATATATTATTATGAAATCATAATTACAGATTAATGCCTAAGCGAAGTTTCTAACTTAATTAACATACAGAACTTATAATAATGCTTTATTAAGTGATTAATTTCATTAGTGAAATATTTTTCAAACTTATTTATGTCTTATAAATAAGGAATTAATTTAACTTGAATATGAAGTCTTTATTTTTTAACAACAGATTTTTAAATATCATGCCTTACTTTCATCTCAAAGATGAAATTAGACTTAACCTGGCTGACAGTCTATATTGAAGTTGTAACTGAAACTTTAAGAAGTACTGAATCAGCGCTTGAAATGAAAAGGTATATGATAGTAAACAAAACTTTAATGTATGCATATTGTACCATTACAGTATTTTATTATTTGTATTTTGATATGTTAATGATGTTTATATATTTATAAAATCTTATAAATTTGCCATTTTTTGAGCTGCATTGCGTTTGTAGAATATTTGATGTATTTTAAATTGGAATTTAGGTTTAAAATAATGTTAACTACTACTCACAGACATTGTATCTTTTTTTTTTTTCAGTAATCTCACTTTTATGTTAACTGATCATGTCAGTATATTTTTCCACTTCTAGCACTGATAAAGAATGAATTTTTTAATTTAAAAAATCTTTTTATTGCTTAATATTAACTACTACATTTTTTCCTGCAGGTCCTGGGACCACAGAAGAAATGGAGAAGTGAAAACAAATTCATGATTGATTTAAATGAATACAAATTGTAATTATATATTGTAGTAAAATAATGTAATGGGAGGAATGGGAGGTTACAGACACATTGTGACAGTTTTATTTCTGGTAAGATGATAATACTGGTGATTAAACACTGTTTAAAAGTAGCAGAAATACATCCTTATAAGTAACATTATTATGCCTTTATAATTTTCAGCATTGAAAGAATTATTATATATGCATTCAGTCTCAGTTCACTGTTTTAGCAATTTTTTAATTATATATTACTTTATATTTAATTAGTGCATCTAAAACACTTTATTTATATGCTGTATAAAATTACCTTATGCAGTAGGACAAATATATTTTTATAAGATTTATGACTAAAATTCAGTAAAATCTGTGATTAACTTTATGCATAAGGGAAAGCAATGCTGTTTCTCTGTCACTTTATGTATTCTCAACTTAGTGTTTGTGTGCAGCACTGTGCCCCCATGATCTGAAAAAATTCTCTTCAACAAATTTAGAAAAATGGTAGCAAACATCATAATTTATCTATATTTTACTTACTTTATTTAATGAACACTACTGTATTGCTGATAAAATACTGTTCAGTAGGTGGTCCTGCTTTTATTCTTTTATGTTTTGTATCCATGTTAAATTAAATAATTTTTATGTTTACATCAGAGACAATATAGAATTTTATGTTCTTGAGCATAATTCCGTGATGATGTACGAGGGGATGGACATAGAGTTCTCTGAATTCTTGAAGATTACATGGATGTATGTGGTCAGCTTCCTTACCCTCTAGTTGCTTTATGCTGAGATAAGCTCCTCTATTACCTGCTGGAGGCTAGGTCAAGGTCAGAGCCCAGTGTGAACAGGATGGCAAAGAATAGAATCTCTGCCAGGTATTAAATCCCAGATGTTCGGTTGAAAAAAGGTAAAAGCTAAAGAGTAAAGGCTGTAGAGACCCATAGGGCTGTGAAACGTTGAAGTCCCAACATTTTCTAGAAAGTTGGCTCACAGATGATGGTGAGGTTGTCAGCCTTATGTGCTGGCCAACCTTTACCCCTAGGAAGATTTCTGGTACTTATTTCAGTTGGAGGCTGAGTCGGCCCCAGGGCCACCATGCAGCAGGAAGGATTAGGTCAATTGAAGTAGTCAGTGATCTCATCGGGAATCGAACCCGCGACCTTCCAGCTTGTAGCATAGTGCCTCAACCATGCTACTACATGCACCCTCAGTTAACAAAAGTGAGAATTTAATACATGTTGTAGTTATAATGGATCTGCAGGAGGTGGATGGAGAATACACATAGCTTATCTCTTGTGGTGCAAAATTCTACTTTTTAATCCACGGGACAAGAAAAATGGAAATACATGGACTACTGGTAACACTACATCATTTAACAAGTACTCAGTAATAAGATCTTTGCCATGCAGTAACCTCAAGTAACCATACAGGGCTGGGCAAGTAGAGCAAGCAGTGCTTTGCAACAGAGGAGCTTTGTTGAGGCAGGATTGAAGTATATATAGTTCTTGTTTCACATTTTACTCACCAGATGGAATATTCTTCATATTATATGATCTACATTATACATTCAATGCTCAAAAGTATTCACAAGATATTTGCTGGGTATGAAAACTTGCCATGCATTTCAACTACAAATGAAATAAGTGCATTAGTGGTCATGGAATCTTTCACTAGAAGGGTGTCAACGTGAATTGAAATCATATTGAAGAGCAGCCAGATGTATTATTTCTGAGGGTCTGTCAGAAGTAAAAGGCAGATAAACATTATAAAATGGCGATGTTAATATAGAGAAGCATTTTTATAAAATTCAAAATTGCATTTACTTTTGAGACAGGACCTCTTGGCATACTTTGTTGTAAAGCATTCAACATTCAACATTTTCATTTCACATCTACGCCTGATAGGTATTTGTAGTTTTAGTATTATTACCTGATATAAATTCCATACTAAATAACACTGGGCAGTGGAAGATCTTCAAGACAACAGGACTCCATAAGGTGGCTACTCACATCTGGAATACAAAACAAAATTCTTTGCCTGTGTCATACACCATAAGTTATGAAGAAGAATCTTTACTGCTCCAAATGTATTGTATGGTATTTAATATACTTCTAATGGCTGTTAGAAATATAAATATTGTGGAAAATACCTGGCACTGAAATGAAAGTTTTCAGAGGTACAATAAGAAGGTTGAATGTATAAGGGGTGGGCCTTCTTGGCCCTTGCACTGCGACCACAGTGATCTTTTGTGCCTTAATGGGAAGCTTGCAATGTCTTATTCATGTAGAGAAATAAATCAAACTAGCTGTATAAGTCTATATTTTGGCACTGATGTAATGTTTTAAGTAGGAGAATTTTGTCTGGGAATTTTCCAGTCTTCTACCCTTATTTAATTTTAAATTACACTATCGTCTCATATCATCATCATTAGTGTCAGTGCAGGATAAGTGGCTCAGATTTTATTCTATTTATAGAGAGGCTCTTTTGGATCTTATGCTGCCTCCAGATGGTTGGTAGACAGGTTCAAGTTGTAGGAGGTGGTTATGGCACCTTGCTGGTCCAAGGCAGGTACATGAACACACAGAGACTTGATCAGCCTGGTCATTACAGTCAAGCAGCACATGGCCAGCCAGTAATTTCCCATTAACAGATAACACTTCTCCATCCAAGGTGAGAACATGATGTGAGGCAGATTGCAGTTCATTATCCTCCCGGCGAACATCCTCAGCATTCCTACAGAAAGGAATGTCAGAATATTACATTAAATTCTCATCAGTGTTTATATCTCATATAGGGTACTAACATGATATGCATGACTTTCCCACTTTGGGATCTTTTTGGCAGTAAAAATAATGGATTATTCAAATACTGTTGGCCATTTCACTAGAACAGTTCATTGCATGAGGATACAAAATTTTCACTCCATTGATGCCATAGTTAAGGGTTTTTTTTCCCTCATTGCATCTGTTTATTTTGTAGAAAGTGAATCAGTTGATGCACATTCAAAAAGAAACTGTGATGAATATTTTGTATTTTATTTGTACAAGTCTGTAACTTTGAAAAGTTATGTGTAGTTAACCTGTTACTGCCACATAAATTTCTTATATTCAATACTAATTTAGGCTGTATTGATTTTGCTGGTTATAATGGATTTATTGTTACTAGCCATTCATGTGATTATGGATTTTATTGAGACACAAATTCTTCCTAGTGACACTGGGGTAGTTTTCGCATTGGTTCTTATATGTGTAGTTGGGAAAAGTAATTATGACTTCTGCATCTAGCCCCATTTTACAGACCTGACTCCAGGGGTGGTAAGTTAAGCAAAAAAGACGTATTATTCAGTAAATAGCGAATATCCTACATTTCTATGCTGTGTGAAGTTATGAAACGCTTCCTAAGCAGTGACATATAGATAAATTTCGAGCCTGTGTTTACAGTCAGTCCCCTACATTTCTCTACCAGCTTCCCTTGCTTCTGTCTAACCCTCCTTGGACTTGCTATTCACACGCCTGCTGATCTGTAAGGGAAAGTCGCCTAGTTTCGGGATGTCTCCTAGTATTTGGAAGGAACAGACCGTGCCACAGCTCAGGTGGTTAGTTGCTGGCTTCCCACCACGGCAGGCCGGGTTCGATCCTAGGTCAAGTCATGTTGGATTTGTGGTTGACAAAGTGGAACTGGGGCAGGTTTTCTCCAAATACTTAGGTTTTCCATGCCAGTTCTCTTTCAACGGACTTTTCGACGCTTATCATCTGTCATCTGAGGCTGGTAAAATAGGTCAAGTAGTGGCAAGCGTACCAACTAGACAATATCTCGTCCGAGCTCATCGAATATGTGCTGCAGCCAGCTGGCAGAATTGTGAATTTAAATATAATTTATTGTGTTGGCAGTACCTGTAACAACATCCTTTGCAACCATGTGGTCGTCGTGATGTAAATGAACCGTGCTGCGAGAAGACTTTTGACATGTAGTGCACCATTGTATATGCGTTTTCAAGAAACATTATCTTATCTTACATTTTTTTTGTAGATGGGAGACAATAAGTGCTCCTGAAGTGCGGGACTTGTCCCAGTATCAACTTTCACGAAGTGTTGTGTCCTCTGGGAAACGCCGTGTGGTTATTTGAATGTAGCTGACATTTTGGAAGAATAATTCGCCTCAGTGTGTAAGGTCGAAAAATAAGCCAAGCAAGAAACCAGCATAAAACAGGAAGCAAGCACAGATTGCTAGTAGACCTCGGAAAGTGTTCCATATATAAATATTTTCTTCACACTTACATCGTCATGAAGCGGAGAACCAGCAAGTTGATACTAGCAGCAACAACCGCAAGACCGAAGAGAATGAATACGAGGCTCAGTGCCACATAACCTGGCTTGTTTATTAGTGCCTGATCGTTCTGTAAAAAGACATAAAGTTTTAGCTCCATACTGAAAACTTTTCAACGTGATTTTGGAAGCAAACCATGGCGCATGCGTCAGCATCTGCAGAACCCGGTAAGTCTAAATGCTGCGAGAGCTACCTCCCAGTACTGCTCTGCTTTGTAGAAAATGATTTATAGAATTTAGGAAGAATATGATGTTATAGAGATAGAATTTACAGTTGTGTTTGAGGTTCATATTCCAGTATGTAGTCGACCTAATAATAACACTCCATATTAAATGAGAATAAATAATTAATTTTCAGTACAGTGGTTACTTTGCAAAAGTAGGGTGGCTTATTTACCTGTATTCAATAAACGTCACTTATCTTTGCGTAATATTAATATGGCTGGAATGCAGTATTCGATTTGGTCATGATTTCTGTCAGTGTTTAATATCTTATAGAAATAATAATAGATTTGAGAAATCTTCATAATCAATGGCTTCATCATTTGTGCTCTTCACCAAATATGCATATTAGGGTGGTCAACTCAAGAAGGGTGACATGGGCGAGGCATTTATCACGAATGTAGTACAAAAGTGCATATGAATTTAACTGACAAAAGAGGACTAGACCACTTGGCAGACACAGGCATAGGTGTGCGCATAGAATTAGAATATATTAAGTAATTAGGGTATGACGACTTCGATTAGATTCATCTGGTTCAGGATAGGCATCAGTGGCGGGCTTTTGTGAACATGGTAATGAAACTTCCGGGTTCCATTAAAACTTGCGAATGACTATCTGAGTGGTCGTTAGTCTCGACAGTTGGCTAAGCAATGGGAAAAAATTCTCTTATTCGAAATAAGAATGTTATTATGTTACAATGTTATTAACAGTTAAAGGCAAATGGTTCTATATGTACATCGTGCTTTTAAAATATCAAAACTCTGCATTCTGCCCACAGCTTATCTGTGTGTATCTTATGGTTCTCAGTCATTTCCCTAAACAATATTAACCAGTTGAACTTTGTAGTGCAGACGTAATGTGTTTCCTACGAGGTACGAACTGAATATATATTACTTAGAAGAAATTCTGGTCATGAGTTTCAAGAAGCTTGGAGCCAAGACGAACTGATTGACAGTAAACCGTCAATCGTAAAATAACTCTGACTCAATCTTTAAGGGATCAAATAAACTCATGATAGGTTATAATTTTGATTCAGGTTTCTCAGATTTTAGACCACTCGGGACATTTGAATTTGGATAATATATTCAAAATAATTCCAAATAAATTATAGTATATTTTAAATTTGGATGATTACATACCTGCAGTGCGACATAGTCACCGAAACCTATCGTTGTGAGCGTGACAAAACAGTAATAGAAACTGTCGAAATAGCTCCAGCCTTCGTATCTGGAGAACACGGCTGCACCGGTTGTGATAATCACAGAAGACAGCATTCCGGTCGCCAGCATCAGGTTCATCTCTGTAGCCTCCGTGCGCTTACACCGCATATAGCGTTTCGCACGACAGATTAACACCGACGCGAATTTATTGAGACGTTCACCAATGCTTTGAAACATAACAAGCCCCAGCGGGATTCCAACCATCGCGTATGCCATACAGAAAGCCTTGCCTCCTATAGTCACTGGCGTAGAATGTCCATATCCTGCCAAACAGCAAACATATTTTCACAAATCATGTTTCATCATTCTAACGGGAAGCTCAGCTGAGATTAAATCCATTTCCAGCAATCGCCAGCCGCAGGAGAAGCACCGTGGTTAGTAAGACCAAGGTGTTATGAAGAATGGGGAATGGGGTTTAGGGGAGCAGCGAAGACCGTCAACAGTAATCAGAGCCAAAATACGTATAAACAGTTAGGGGAATCCGAACAGATCATTTCGCAGACCTAGGGGAGATGGGAGGCTAATATTGAAAATAAATGTATATAAATAGGGAGTGAAGAAGTATGGGTTCAGCAGGCCCATGCAGCCCCGCTCCAGTAAAATAAGGATCTCTGGCGCGGAAGCTACCAATTATTTCCTTGCGTACATAAGATAAATAACACGTGTAACATAAATCCAATATCACAATAGTCAGAATTGGATACAAATTGAAACTGCGGATACTCTAAATCCACGGGTCGTAAAACGACATTTGGCGAACTGCTGCATAGAGGAGACAGTCGAGTTCCTATCTTGTCTGCCGTTCATAAGTTGCAAGTTTAAATCTATTTACCTATCATAGCTAGAACCACTGTTGCGAAGTAGAAGGCCCCCGCAAACTTCCATTGTGGCCCCGCCTTGTGAGGCTTATTTTCAATTATGACGATTTCAATCATTTTGTAGTCTTCATGAGAGATGTTGTACTTCTTAAGCAAATTCTCCTTCATCTCTGGAAATTTGATAAAAATCAGATTTATTTTGGGTAGAAATCCTTTCGGAAAGTCTGGGGCCACTATTGTTACGTGTATGATACATTTAGTTGACTTAGACGCAAGGAAAGAATTAAACTATAGATTTTTAATATATGAACTGCACTGAAGTGACTCAGATCTTGCAAACACAGTTATGGACTTACGGGTTTCGTAAAAGACTAAGAATTTCTTGACTAACTGAGCGACTTCTCAAGGAGGACTGTGTTCAGTGTAGTTAATTGTAAGCGTGCAGTCTGTATACATACATGTGCATGAATATTTATACTTATTGGAAAGTCATAGGCACTTGACGCTTTGTAGCACTTACCCGTCAGGAATTCACACCGTTTCCTCTCTGTGTCGGACTCCAGGGCGTCGAATACTGCGGCCCCTATGAGCAAGTACGTGAATGTGCAGACCACTAAGGAGAGCGTTCTAACATTCTGTCGCTTCATGTCCTCTCGGGATCGTGATTTTCACTCAGTCGATCATTAGACTACGCTACATACGAGTAGCCAGACGGTTCGGTCTACTGCAGCAACTCATTCTGTGAGTAGTAAAGTTACTGATATAGCGACTGTGGCGCCAGGATTTATTTTTTATTGCTAGTGGGGTGGGTCTAAGTCCTTTGCACTGCGACCACTTCTGGCCTATTGTACCAGCCCCAGATGAGAGGTGAGGGTGATTGTGGAGCAGTTGGTGGAATGAAGATTGGCAGGGGAAACCTAAGTACTAGGAGGAAACCTGCCCCAGCGCCACTTTGTCCACCACAAATCCCACTTGACCAGACCCGGGATCGAATCCGGGCCGCCACGGCGGGAAGCCAGCGACTATCCGCTTGAGCTATGGCGCGGCCCTTGTGGCGCCGGAGTAGCGTAGTCGATATAGTGACTGGCTACGGGCTGGGCGACCGAGGATTCTGAGTTCGAGTCCCTGTAGTGTCGAAAATTTTCTTTTCTTTATGTCGTCCAGATCGGCTTTGAGGCCCACCCAGCCACCTATGCAGTGGGTACCGTGGGTAAAACAGCAGGGGCTTGAAGGTGACCACTCACCTCCAGCTAGTGCCGAGGTCAAGAAAACGTGGATCTATACATTCACTCCCCCATACGCCTTCATGGCGTAGTGTTTAAATAATTAAGCATAAGGGCAACTTTACCTTGTTTGCCTGATATAGTGGCAGGGTTGGGAGAGCGGACGACGCAATCGCCCCGGAGTCTGCACAAAACATAAATAAAATCCAGATTTTACTGAGACATTCGCCTCTCAAAAATCACAAATGTTTCTTTGGGTTTTTAGTTACTATAATAAATAATGCCATGCCATAGCTCGGGCGGTTAGTCGCCGGCTCCCCACTGCGGCGGCCCCGAGCTGGAGCCCTGGTCAGGTCATGTGCGATTTGTGGTGGAGAACGTGGCACTGGGGCAGGTTTTCTCAGAGTACTTCGGTTTGCCCTGCCAATTTTCAATCCGCCGATTGCTACACAATCATCATCATCATCATCATGTATTATCTGGGGCTGGTACAATAGGCCAAGCAGTGGCCGCAGTACCAAGTTGACTCAGTCTCACCCCACGAGAGAAATAAAAAATAGAAACATACTATAAGAAATAACAAACTCCGTGGTTTTAGTCCGCAAGCGAACTATACCGACCGATCGATCGCCGCTTGTCGGCGAAGTTAGTGACAACTTTAGAGGATAGAAGGTGCCGCGTGGTCAGCGCAACGAATTCCCACGGTCGTTAATTTCGGTTTTGTAGACCAGAGCCGCTATTTCCTTGAAATAGCTCCTCAATTTTCATCACGAGGCTGAGTAGACCCCGTTCCAGACCCACTACTTCTCAGAAAAAATGTGGTAGCGCCGGGAATCGAACCCGGACCTCTTGATCTGTAGCATGAACTCTGACCACTAGACCACAGAGTTAACAACAACAAAATTATTTTCATAATCGAAATTTATTGTTTCTGGCAAAGGGCCCCAACACTATAGATCCGGCCCTGTATAGTAATAGTAATAGGCTCAGAGGCACTTCAAGTGAAAAAGAAACGGTGGGTACATCAATTCTTCGGTTCGCAAAACCGCGTTTGACGAAGAGTTGCTATGCTTACATTATTCTTGAAAAAACCATCCCATTGACATACCGAATGGACTGGTGCAGCGAAGAAGTTTTAGACTCGTATTGTGGAGGTTGTCATTCAAATTTCGCCCAGGACATCTGCTATCCAACTAGGGGGTTTCGTGGTTTTCCTCAGTTCCGCTAGGCAAATGAGGGGGTATTGCCTCAACTAGACCATGACCCCTTCCTTCCAAATCCTTTCCAATTCATCATTCATCAGCCATCCTACCATTCGATGCTCTGTAGTCTAGGCATTGACAGCGTCGTACCACAACCCACCCCCCCTCAAACACACACGTATTCGTCAACAATAACTGATCACATATCCACAACTAAAGGGCCAGCTAATGAAGGTTGACATACAGTTCACATCTATTAACAACATATCATACTTACATTGAAGTAAATACGCGTCGTCCTTTGGTTTGTGAATCATTGATTGATACACGCTTTCCAGTTCAGGCAATTAATTACACAGACATTGTTTACATGTTCATATTATTTTATTGCTGAAGGAAAGATCTTACATTTAAAGCAAGCCACGATGAACGTTTGTGGTGTAAATCGTGCGCGCTACCTCATTCGGTTCTTATCTCCCTACGATGTCATGAGGTGGGGTAGCCTGTTATGTTGTATTGATTGTTCCGCTAGGATGCTGGCTTGACAGCACACTCACGCCATCGCGTTTCTGCATTGCCAACCACGAAGATTTAATACTCTGATTGTGCTACCAGATGACGCCACTTGGTTTAGAATTGAGCAGACTGAAACTTGCTTAGTTCCTGACAACTAATAGACCAACGAATTAACAAGAAACTTCCTCAATATTCAATAACGTAGTAGAGACCATGGAACTTCTAGATTAACAATGGTCTGCAAAATATGTACGCTACCCGCATTTCACTTTTTACACCTTCTGAAGAGCATTCGTGTGTGAAAAGCCAAATACTTACTAGGGCTTCCTGTCTGTCCTTCAGTTCAGGCGACTGTTGTCATGTCAACAGACAGTCCCTTCAAATCTTGACCATAATCGTCACCTCCATCGTTTGTTTGACACTGGCATCAACTCCGAAGCTTGCCGTTAAAACAATCTGACCGTCCTGAATGAGATTTTACCAGTATACACCAAACGTACAGTGACTACGGTATGGGATGAACGGCCGAGGAATGGTATTTCGATCCTCGTTAGGGACAAGAGATTTTTCTCTTCACGACAGCGTCCAGACCACGTCTCGGCTGGTACCGGGTTCTTTTTCCATGAGAACAAAGTGGCCATTGGTTGCAGCTTATTCACCTCCATCTTGTGATGAGATCAAGAATTCATGGCGCTATGTCTCCATTCCCGTATACACCTTCATGGTTTCGTGCTTAATTAAGCACAGGAACAGCTTTATTTTACCGTATACTACGAAAGATGGGCGAGGGAGATTTAGATAACAAAAGACGGAAAAACATATTCTGAGTCAATCTTTGGAGCCTAAATATTCTAGGGAAACTTATTCTTGTTGCTACTTTCGATTATGATATTTTTGTCTTCGAATTAAAATTACCACTTTATGCAAATAATTTTCTGTGTTTATCTTATTAATTATTAGAGAAATTTTCCCTCTGTTCGTTGTAAAACTTTTCCTTTTGAATCTGGAATCAGTGATATAATGTGACATATTTAAAGCAACGAATTTAAGCAGAATCTTCCTCCATCGTTCCAGAAATGCTAAAGATTATGAACATCATGCAGTTCCTTTTACAGCATGATTCCGCTTACGTTGACAATATTCCGAAGGGATAATTTAAACATGCCATTGTTCCCAACATTTCGGATTTCTTTATATATAAAAAAGAGCTAGTTTTCCAAGGATCGCTACCATGTGTGTCCCACACTGTATAGCACAAATAGTAGTCTACCAGAAAAATTATTGCAGACACGTCGAAACATGTTTATTTACATCATAAAAAGTAATTTCTTTATATTGCATTGAGATCGAAGAGACCTTAATGGGTACTGAAAATTAAGTAGTTTACAGCTTGTTAGCATATGGAGCAAGTAGTAATGAATATCTTGTCTATGTAGACTATAACAGAATAGAGAGTAATTACAACTGACTTACCTAGTGACTAATTAAATTAACCTGAAGGAAAGAAACCATTTTAGTGATCTGATTTCAGATAAGATGATACTAAAATGACCTCCAGGGTACTGTATGTGAAAATGTGGACGGAATTCATCTGCTACCGGGTAGGAACCAGTACGAGAACTTTTGTAGACACGGCAATGAACTCTCGGATTCTGTAAAATACGGGTAACTTCTTGGGCACTTCAGCGAATATTAGTTTCATAAAGTAAGGTAGAAAAACGTAAAGGTATCTCTGTAAGAAGCCTTGAAGGCCCATAGGGCTGTGAGACGTCGAGGCTCCCACATCTAGACAATCGGTTCACAGATGGCGGTAAGCTTGTCAGCCTTACGCGACGGCCGTTCTTTACCCCCAGGAAGATTTCTAGTTTGATTTGGTTCATCCTGACCCGTCACACTAGCAATATTATAAAAGGTTATCAACTCTTAGTTACTATAGGATTCTGACGATGGTGTATAACACACTGATATATCGGGTTTCTGGACTTTATCCATCGTCCTGGTTTTTAAGATAACAAATAAAAACACGACGTTTCGGAAACTGGATCTGTTTCCGTCCTCAGGTGAAGGAAAAGGGAAACACCTATTCTGTTGGGTCCGTTAGAAAGAGCTAACCTCAATCACTGGACCAGGTCCAGTTTCCGAAACGTCGTGTTTTTATTTGTTATCTTAAAAACCAGGACGATGGATAAAGTCCAGAAACCCAATATATCAGTGTGTGATCAACTCTGTCCATTGTGACTGATAAAGTCACCGATTATCTGATCAGTCACACTGGACGGAGTTTGATAACCTTTTATAAGATTTCTTATACTCGTTTCTATTAGAGGCTGAGTCGACTCCGGGGCCACATTGCGCCTGTATGGATTAAGTAAACTGAAAAAAATTCAACGACCTCATCGGGAATCGAACCCGCGGCCTCCCGGTTTGCAGCATAGTTCCTCAACCAAATGCGCTACCGTAAGGAGGGTATTTATGTAAGAATATTTTTAATTGCTAGTGGGGTGGGACTAAGTCCCTTGTACTGCGGCAACTTTTGGCCTATTGTACCAGCCCCAGAGGAATGATTGTGGAGCAACTGGTGGAATGAAGATTGGCAGGGGAAACTGGAAGTACTCGGAGAAAACCTGCCCCAGCGCCACTTTGTCCACCACATATCCCACTTGACCAGACCCGGGATCGAACCCTGGCCGCCGCGGTGGGAAGCCAGCGATTAACCGCTTGAGCTGTGCGCGGCCTATGTAAGAGTAACTTGCGGCTGCAAGAATATACATTTCAAGTCCTGTTTGTTTTATACATCTGTGGTGTGTTTTAAGTTGATTTTAGTCTCGCATAATTTTAACTTGACATGAGGATGTACGAAAATTGTTCAATATACTGTGCACGAAATGTACGCTTTTTTCATCGACACGGGGGCTGGCAAGATTATTATGAAATCTAGTCAAATGGAATGAGTAAGTAGCTGATCATGGCTTGCTTTATGATATTCTGCCCCAACGTAACAAAGTAGGAAAAGTACGTAACAATTGAAACGCATTCACATTGATGTACATTTAATTAGTTTTTGTCATCCAAGTTCATTTTCCACGTCTTATACATACAAAATGCTATATTCTTTTGCCCCCCCCTCCCCCTCCCTGAGGTTAGTTAGAAGCAAAATATAAAATGAGAAAATGTATTGGGAGCAGATAAAGGTAAAGCTATTCCTGTAACAGGCCGTGAAGGCCCAGAGAGTTTTGAGACGTCGAGGCTCCCACATTTTCTCTAGACAATTGGATCACATATGGCGATAAGGTTGTCAGCCTTACGCACCGGCCGCCCTTTATCCCCAGGAAGATTCCTGGTACTTATTTCTGTTAGAGGCTTAGTCAACCCCAGGGCCATAGTGCGGCTGGAAGGACTAGGCAAATTGAAAAAAATCCACCTCATTGGGACTCGAGCCCGCGACCTTCCGGCTTGTAGCATAGTGCCTCAAGGAACTACGCTACCGCGTACCCCCACGCGTTGGGAGCACTGATAATAATGTTGAAGTAGTGGTAGCAATAGTAACTGAACCGACTTAAATAATATAAGAACTTTGTACCTATTGTTTGTTTGTATGCATCTTAGATTGTACGTATGTTCATATGTACTGAACTTGTGTACCACAAGAATATGGTGTTACGTGAAGACAGCTTTTTGTTTGTAACGAAATTCAACTCAATAAACTAAACTAAGCTAAACTTAGCTAAACTAAAATAAACTAAACTAAAGTTAACTGAACTATACATATTTTTTAATTTAAATACTAGCAAAACCAGTGCCAGAAGGTATAAATAACAAACAAAGAGATTTGTTTGCACTGCAATTTGGAGAACCCTTACTGTGTACCAATTTACTTTTTTCGTGTGAGCACTTTTATATGTTTTAATGCATTTCTAGAATGCTGTCATGCTGAACGAAGACACAGGCCAGCTGCACATGACTTGTGGCTTCGAATGACGAGGGAACTGTTGGGTATTTTGGACGAGTTGACAGTTTTTTGATTGCTGTGTGTTGACGTCGATTTGACCGTCACTCTCAGCCGGTTGTTGAGAACGGAAGGAATACCACTTATGTTCATACACTGCAACGAACCACATCCATCCTAACTGTAATTTCAAATAATCACAGCAAGCGATTTCCTGCAATAAGTTGCAGGCTTCATATACGAAATTTCTTAGTTGTCGTCTTGAATTTGTCGAAGGAATATGGATATAAAGGAGAGATTGCAAGCACAAAATACAATGGCAAACATACACGCCGGGGTAGCTTAGATTGTATAGGGACGGTATACAGGCTGGGAGGTCTATGAACTGGGTTACTACTCCCGACAGGAGCAAGGGGATTTTCTCTTTTATACAGCATACAGATTGGCTCTGGGGTTCATCTAGCCTTCTATCCAGTGGGTACCGGAAATTCTTTCCCTGGAGGGTAAAGCCCCCGGTGGGTAAAAGTGACCATTCACCTCCATCTAGTGCCCAGTTTGAGTGGCTGAGCTATACCTGCACTCCTCCATATGTCTTCACGGCGTAATGCTTAATTAATTAAATACACGGAAAACTTTACTTCTATGTCTTTATACATAGGCAATAAAAATTAACAAATGTACATTAAGAAAGAACGGAGAAACACATGACCAGAGGCAGTATATACTGTAAATTCACTGGAAAAATAAGTACAACGTTTTACTGGAACAGATTTTAGAAGCTTAAAAGTCCAACCATCTGAGTAAAAATGACGGTGGTGGTGGTGAAGATGATGATGATTATGATAATAATAATAATAATAATAATAATAATAATAATAATAAAGTTTAAAAACAAAACTTCTAGCCGTCCTTGTTGAGGTGTGTGCTGCTACATCTCAGCATGGCGTGTCTGAAGAAGGCAGTGACTAATTTTTCGACGATCTCTAAATATATAATCTATGCACGTGTTTCTTTCTACGCTACAT